ATTTAAGCTAGTCTTTTCTTTTAACTGTTGTTAAAAGCCCCAGTCTGGCTCTAAAAAATTTATTATGGTTGAAAATCACTTGCTATATGAAAAACGGAGTTTTTTTTTTGAAGTGGACGATAATAATTTTATTCGTGTAACGTTTATATTGTACTAGCACGACAAAAGAATATTGAATTAGTTCCTTTACCTCCATATACACCTGAACTAAACCCAATCGAATTATGTTTCAACACTACTAGGTTTCTTAACGAACAATTACCAACTGATACTGAACTAGAATTAGAAGATACAATTGATAAAATTATAAATATGATTAATCGGAAGCCTTTGACTAAGTATTTTTGCCATTGTCAAGAGTTTTTTTCTTTTAGTGAAAGTGGAAATTAATTTTTTGTAGAGTAATATGTCTCATATTAGAAAAAAAACCAATGTGTAAACCTTTGTGGATGAAAGTGGATTTTCAAGAGAGTGTATTCCTATTTTTTTAATATAGAATTATTATGTAATATTATTGGCTTTTGAGCTACAAAAAAGAATCCCAATGACCAATCAAATTTAACGTGTAACTATTTTCCATTTATTCAATAACAATATTAATATTAATCCTGAATTAATTATTTTAGATAGATTTTCAAATAATCTTTTTGCTATATACTTCCTTTGGTAAGTCTATAGGATGATTAACACTTCTTGAAGAATTTCAAGTTCCTCATTTATTTTTTTGTGTCCCTTATATTTTAGTAAAGAAGTTTCAATCTCATCAATTGGTGCAACTGTTATGTCTGAAACCAGAGTGGGTGAATTTTCTCCAACTTCTATCTCTTCATTTGATCTACCTTTGTTGATTTCTTTGATGAGTGTATTATGTTCTTTAACTTTTACAAAGCAACATCTTTACTTCATTTACCAACAGTGGAATGTGGTATTTTTTTGTAAACTTCTTGATATATCATCAGGAAAATGCTTTTGAAATTATACATAGATCCTACATGTAAACAGCATATAAACACCATATCATGATTTGTAT